TTTTAGAACCTAAAGTTTCAATTTTTTTCGAAACTATATCTAATATTTATTTTTTGTTTCATTTTAGTACCCATTAAAAATTTAACACTAAGTTTTGAAAAAAATGAAAGTTTAGGTACTAGAACAGACCAGAACTGATAGTTTAAGTATTAAATGCGTTAAGTTTTAACAGTGGGTACTAAAATGAAATAAAAACCAAATATTAGATATGATTTTAAAAAATTAGAAACGTAGGTAGTAAAATGGATCAAAATTGATAGTTTAGGTACTAAACACATAATTTATCTTAAAGGCTGGAAAGGGTATTACTCTATTCAAAATAATTTTCATATCACTTTTATAAATGCAGAAAATTAGCTCTTCCAAAATTTAGACTTATTTATGCCTTTTACTAATATTCAAGTTAAATGGAGAAATTGTTTCATTTTTTTTGGATCCACACATATTATCTGCTGATACAACATGATCTAAGAAAATCACTTTGATCAATCAAAATTTTGTGTATTAGTTTTATAAATAGAATTTTTCAAAAATTCATGTATTTCTTTATTAAAACGTGTGGTATTTAATGTGTTTTTACATATTAAAACTGATAAGTTGGTATGAATCATACAGTCTTAATTAGTGAAGATTTGAAAAATTATGATGCATTGTTTGTTGAATTTATGGAATTAAAGGTGGTCCTAGTTCACTTATACTTGATAGTCTTGCCAAGAAGATTGAAGGATCTTGAATGTGTAGGAACGTTTTTACACTAATGCTCATATTGAATTGAGACATTTCATGTATAACTTACAATTTCCTTGCTACTCGTGTCAATAAATAAACTAAAGTTTCAAAAAGAAGTGCAAAAGTAGATGAGCATGCCACACCCTCACATAGGCATTCTTGGTTCTACTCTTATTAGATTTGTAAACTAAGTTTATTTCATTCTAATGACCATTCATGAATGAGTATGCATATATAGCTAAGTTTTAGTGTCATATTCTAAGTCTTAGAGTGTTTAGTATGTCTTTTATGCATGTTTTAGTATGTTCTTTATGCATTTTGATTGTTGGTTTGAGCTTAATTGTGAATGTAGGAACTCCAATAAGATGCAAAGAATACGGAATTCAAGCCCAATTGAGGTGCCAAGACAGAGATGAATTTCAAAGGCATTCTATTACGTCTAGACATCATGGATCCAAGGTTTTTGTGATGGGGAATTTGCATTTCGATCCCCCAAAATGACAAAATATTCAGTTTTGCCCCTTTAAAAATATAAAGTTATAAGCTAATACAATGGTAAAATGTAAACATTGTATGTAAAATGATAAAAATATTCAGTTTAGCCCCTCCAAAACAATTTCTGACTTCAACCTTATTACCTTGTAAAATGCAAAGAGTGTATGTAAAATGGACCGAATATCAAACAATTGCAGGGAACCATCAATTTACTACATCAGAATGGATTTCTCGTGTGATAGTTTGGAATTCTGTGGGTTAATTTTCAACTCTTAAAAAGTTGAGTTCACTATATATAAGAAAAACTGCATTTATTGAGAGCAGATACTTACCGAGGAAATGAAGAACTTTTGACAGTATACTAATGAATGTAGTAAAACAAGGACTTAAAAAGAACTGGTATTTTAACTGCCTTGTGGTTTTACAGCACACAGTGTTTAAATCCTAGCTGAAAGCAAACAGATTCCCATCCCATGCTAACAGTGCATGTTGACTTAGTAACCTTTATAAAACTGAAGTTTACTCAAAAAGATGCGCGGAAGACCGAGTCCACCAGGTAGATTAAATTTAGAGGAATATATTCTTTTGCCATTCAATATTAATAAATGACTTGCAAACAGCATCACATTAACCAGCCTAGGAAAAAAAACTGCACTGCTTGGTAACTGACCCAAAGTTAAGACTCTACTGTTGCTTAAGAAAGTTTTAAGTATTGGGAATGGGAAAAAAATAGATAAAAGAAGAGTTTTCAAAATTAGAATTCGATACGATTTGGCTCGAGTCCGAAATAATTGAGAACTAGTGTGACTACCTGATACCAGGGGCCCTCATCTACCTGTTTGCCCCACATCAAACATATATTTCAAATTTTCTATTTCACTTTCATCTATAAATTCAAAGTGCCATCAATCCTTGGGCTTGACATGAATAGGTCGAGGTTAACCATGGACTTGAACCAATCTATGGAGTTCACACCACCTTCAAACTCTTCACCACAGATTCACAACTTCATGCCAATGACTTCTTTCATGCTACCATTTCACCAACCTTCCAATGAGGTTGCCTTTTTTCCTATATGAAAACCGCATTTGATTTATAAGTTATAAACTAATCCACGTTATTAATTTTAACCTTTTTTTTATTGTCTGTGAAGAATGGTGAAGAAGTGAAGCAATCAGATCTTCTGACTCAGAAGCGCAATCTAGAGTTGTTTTGGTACCAACAAATGATGGAAATTAATAACATTTCAGGTCCCTCAATATTTATATTGTTCCATTGCAGTCGATATAGATTTACCATTTTCTTTCTCATTTCTTCTGCTATTTTGCTTTTTACTGATTGACTTGTCCCTCTGTGCTTTTATACTGAACTAAAGCTTTCAAGAGCCACCACCAGCTACCTCTAGCAAGGATCAAGAGGATTATGAAATCTGATAAAGATGTGAAGGTTGATTTAGTTACTAATTTTCACACGATCTTATTTTATTTTATACAATGTGTGGACTTTGTCACTTATATTTCGTATGTTGCACCAGATGATCAGTGCAGACACTCCAATATTGTTCTCCAAGGCATGTGAGCTCTTCATTCTGGAGCTCACCCTCCGAGCGTGGCTGAAAACCGAAGAAGGCAAACGCCGAACCCTGCAGCGTTGCGACATCATCAGGGTGATAAGGCAAGAGGAGGCACTTCATTTCTTGGTTGATGATGTCACTTTGATCAACCATAAGGTCTTTTTTTTCCTTTCTTTTCCTCAGTGTGGTAGCAGAATTTTATACAAGTAACAAAACTAAGTTTGAGTTTCTTTTTCATCATTTCAATAACTACGAATTTTTCTAGGATGATGATGGGAAATTTCTGAAGGAAAATGAGTATCATCCGGCTAACCAGCAGCAGTTTCCGGTGTTGGACATGAATTCTGTGAGTATTAACAAGAGCTTAAAATTGATTTTTGTTTGTTGTTCTCTTCCGATTGATTGATTCTAGAGAATTGTGGTGTAACTTTACACTCTTTTTTCTTTAATTTACTCTGTGGCAGGTGGTTATGAGTAACCCAGAAGCTGAGCAATTCATGGTTAAGCCTCCTATGACCTCTCATGATTTCAATTAAGGTATAAGATATTTCATATGCTGCTTTTGAAAATTTCGTACAATTACAAAAAGGCACCAAATATAAATTCACAACACTTCTCTTTCTTTATGCAGTGAATGAGCAGCCGGAGCACAAAGAGAAAAGGGCAATCATATTTGGAATGTGGAAGCAGCAGCCTTTACAATAGAAAAAAGAAATCTGCAGGTTGTTCCCCCCCCCCCTTTCCTTTCTATAATAATGACATTAAATTGGCTTTTTCTATTTTGTAATAATAAATGAATAAATTTAGACTTGTCTCTTTTTACCATACGATCTTGATTATCTTGTATTTCATAGAAGATTTCGAAAGATTACATGATAGGAATATTACATAGCCAACAATTAAGACGTTATGGGGAAATAATATCAAACTAATAACATAAAAAAATAAACGAAAACTTAAGAAAGAAAAAAAGCAAGCCAAAACAACTTTTCTCAAAGAATTTTAAGTTCAATTGATATTTTAAGGTTGTGAATTTAGTACATTCAAGCGCGCCTCAAGGTTGGGAATTGAAATACACTCAAGCATAATTAAACATAATTTAATTATTTGATAAAATTGCACGAACCAATTCATCTAATTAATTAAAGGAATCGTTGTTATTCTTAGAGTTTACGGGTTTAAACACAAACGACTGCAACATGGTGATTGAAAAATTTATAATGGAAAAAACTATTCATAAAGATTTAAAATCTCTCGATTTTTAAAAAAAAATAAAATTATTTTCTTTTCACATTTAATTGAGTTATAATGATGGAAAATTATATTAACTAAATTCACCTACATTGACAGATAAATAGTTTGATTTTTATAACAATGTTATAAATTTTAAAAAAATATGAAATTGTTAAAATTGTGAAAAGACTAAAAAAATAAAATAATTATGAATAAAAATCTAAAAACACATAAAACAATAAAAAGGAGGCAAGTATAAAAATGTCTCCCTATTGTATGGTGTTACTTTATTGAATACATTGACTATTAAAATTTATAAAATAGTCCTATGTTTAAAGGATATTATTTTGTTGAGTCCCGCGACTATTAAAAGTTTCAAAATGGTCATTCGACTATTTATATGTTCCAAAGTCGTCATTTTTTTGTTAAAGTGACGATTGTATGAGTTGTATATTACCATGTTAAATGTGATATGATAAAAAAAATTGGTCCAAATTATAGGATGTTGCTTTGTTAAGTTAACGTCCAGCTCAAACGGTCATCAATTTTTATCGAAAAATATTGAGTTTGGAACATATGAATAGTTTAGTAATTATTTTGTAACTTTTAATAGTTGGAGGACTCAACAAACAACTTTTCTATAATTATGGATTATTTTATAATTTTTAAGTCGAGAGACTTAATAAAACAATATATTATAATCAGGGATCATTTGTATACTTTACTCTTAAAAAATCTAGAAAAAGTAATTTATTTAAAAAATAGCATAAATCAAATTCAAAACTAAGATGTACTGGAATTCCCCCCCCCCATAAATTGAATAAAAGAATACATATTTTCTTCAAGAATTTGTACATCAAATCTTTACTTTTCTGCTCAGATCCCAGAACAATTTTTTCCCAAGAAGTAAACAACTTGCACATAATACCACAAGTTGAAACTTCAAACTCAGTTTTTCCCCCCCACCAAAATCCATAAGTTTCGCGGTTAATTAGAAAGCACATCATTATCTGCAACAAAAAGGCTCTTCAGCTATGGTTTCAAGCAATGGTTTCTTAGATCTTGACATGGATAACCTATGCCTGAACTCTGGAGTAGAAAACTCTTCAATATCATCCAACTTCAGCTTCGGCTCTGACATTTTCTGCTCATCTTCAGGCAAGATCCTTACCTTTCCGGCGAAACCCTTTTTGGCAGCCGAGTTTGCAGCAAGAAACAAAGGTCCCAAGTCAGCAGGCGAGACCGTTGAGTTGAGTCTCTTCATGGGGAACATGGCGTAGGCATTGGCCAACTCCAAGTCTTCATCTGCACTGAGAGGGGAAAACCTGCGGCCCAGTTTCAGGGATTGGGTGTTGACAAGGAAGAAGTTGGGCGTTTCGAGCATGAGCTCGGCGGCTTTGATGGATGCATTGAATTGCCTGATTTCACCACTAGGGAACATCACTTTTATTGATTTGCCTGATGGGGTTGATAAACTACATGAAACGTAGTTCCCCATATTGATGATTCTATCGATCTTCTCTGAGTCGTAGGGTGATGGAATTTGTTTAAGCTCATGCGGATTTATAAGGCGGGTGGTCAAATAATTGAAGCTGAAATATATTCCCAAGTCCCTGTGGTTTTCACATCTTTATTTTATTATATACTTTTTTATTTGAGTGGAAAGGGCATGAGGAGACGGTTGTTTGTTTGAAATGGAAGGGTTGATGATATATGCAATATTTTACTATGACTCCCGTCCCGTGTTAGGCAAAGATGGCCTTTCCAGCACATAATGAAATGAACGCTGCACACTTCCAAGCCATTCAAACTGGAGTATTTTTCTATGTTTTTTTAATGTGAACTTCAAAATCATCTCTGTTAAATGCGCGTGGACCCCCTTTCTTCGCCTTATGTTGTTGGAACTTCAAAATCATCTCTGTTAAATGCATTTGTCACTTCAGTATCGTAACGGTCAACGACAAAAAATATTAGTTAAAGAATTATATTATATTCTTTTTCTAAGTTCGAGGATCACATTGAATGCAAAAAAGTTCGAGGGTCACATTAATTGTTTTTGAAAAAGTACAAGAATCTTAATCCTTAGGTACCCTTTTATTATTAAATAATAATATAATTACATTATATATATATATATATATATATGATTAGGAATGATCATAGTATCAAGTCGAGTTTTTGATTCATTTGAATTAGATTCAAAAATTAAACCTTTCCACTGGATTTTTAAGTCAAAACTCACCTTTGATCATCCAAATCCGAGAAAAAGGATCGGTAACTCTTGTAACGAATTGATGCACACAAAAAATGATGAACAGATTAAAGATAGAAAACAATAGAGAGGTGACAAAGAAACAGTAAACTCTTCTCATTCCACGATTCTCATCTGTTAAACTCTCACCAATTCGAGATTTTTAATCCAAGTACGAAATGATATTAAATCTTTGACTCCTACCTTAATAAAACGTTGTCGTTTTTTAGTTACAAAAGGTGCATTACAGTAGTACATGAAGAAAAAAAAATGGTTTTCCTAAAAGATTATTACCATTTAAATACTTTCTTAGGTTGGGTTATTGGTTTTTTTTTCTTTTGAAGTTGATTGAATAGGAAACAAATTCAGCCGTTCTATGAGTGAATTAAAACAAGAAAAATGATGATTTTATTTACCATGTTGCAACTATTATGTATGAAAGAGATAATAATTTTTTTTTAAAAAGAAAATAAAAAAATATAAGAAAAGGAAAACTATAACAGAGGTGAAGGGTTAGATTGACTTTTTCCATGTTCATTTGGATAGATAACATTTTTAATCCATATATATATATTCTTATCTAAAAATTAAGATTTGAAAAATATCTTTATATGCGAAAAAAAAGTCGCTTAATTAATCTAGAATATATTACGGAAAAAATAATTAATAAGTATCATTTTTGCTTGTTTCTTAGAAATGTTAACATTTTTATTAATAAACTAATATTTATGAGTTGAATCTTAACATTAATTTTTAAATATGATTTAATTTTTGGAAAAATAAAGCTCTATGCCTAAAAGATTCATAAATTCAAGTAATAATATGAAATTTATGGAATGTATTGAAAATTGCATCATAAATTAATTAAAAGAGTGTTGACGTGAGATGAACTTGTGGGTAAATCGTACTCCAACATTGAATTAAATACGAAATGTTCTTCTAATTAAAAAAATACTTAATTTTCCTCTTCTAAAAGTTATATGGTTGACTTAATAAATTCCGAATAAGGGATTTAAAATAAAAGATGAGATCGTCCTTAATAATTTACTCATACAAGCGAAAGGGCAAAGCATGTGAAGCCTAGGTTTGACTTGCATTGAATAGTCAACAATAGACGATGGAAGATGGAACACGGAGGGCGGTGGCGATGACGGTGATTGTGGTTGTGGCGATTGCCCATTCTCCACGTTCTCCCCTCATTTTTCATGGAGCTTCCTCGTTCATTTCATTTCCTTTTCTTCTTCACTCTTATTTAGATTTTACAACATCCGCGTTGTTGTTGTTATTATTATTATTATTATTATTATTATTATTATTATTATTATTATTATTATTATTATCAACTCAATTATAAAACTGCACAAAGTAACATATTGATAAAATGCGAATCATTGTTTTTATCATTAAATTTAATGTCAAAGTATTCAATTAAATGTATAACTGATGGTAATTTAACTTGAATCCGACGGGTTTCAATCCGACCTAACTTGATAGAATTGAATTTTTTTTAAATGAGTTCGGGTCGGATTTTTTAAGGGGCGAGATCGGGTCTAGTCGAGTTCGGGTGGAGGGTGAGAAAAAACCCGACCCGATCCGATGATAATAATAATTTTTCTTAAAAAATTATTAATTTTTTGTTAAATATTTATTTTTTATTAGATCAGGTCGGATCGAGACATATTTATACTCTACAAATTGGAGTTTTTGCCTATGAAATCAATATAAATGGAAAGTATTAATAATGATTAAGCTTATAGTTTTCATTAAAGCTAAGTGTGTTCAAAGTGGCAATTGATTAATTTTTTTGTTATTAACATGAGATAAGTATAAGATATTATTTGTTCAAACATAACTCTCAACCTTTTAACATTGAATGCTCATACCTTTGGCATCTACGGTGCTCGAACCTGAGTCTTCAAAAAATAAAAACAATTCATTTACCATGAAACCACTTGATTCGTGAAATCAATTGACTATTAATCGAAGATTGTTGCATCCTTTTCATATTGTATTATCATCATACAACACCGGTTGGAATGTAGTAGAACATCTTTTACCATAAAATTAGGGTGATTGTTACAGTCGCTTGTGTTTAAATTCGTGATCTCTAGGAAAAATAACGATTATTTTAACCACTGAGGAAAATTGGTTCGTACAATATCTTATTTATTTTAGTGTTTTAGGTTTGACAATCTAATTATTTTTTTAAATTATATTTAAAATTATATTTTATTATATTGATACTCCATCGATGAGTTTAATTGGTGACTTAATATAAATATGATGTGGCATGGCATAGTAACAACTTTACTTTGAAAACTTTATATTCTATCAAATTAATCATAATTTAAATTAATTTAATAAATCTTTAATCTTTAATAAATTATTATTTGTTTCTAATTAAAATAAAGATCAAATTGATAAGAGTTTTAAATATTAGAGAATTATTAAATTATTCTGAATTAAAACTAATTCAATTGAATGTATAAGTTTTTTATTAGCTTAAGCCTTAGGGTGATTATAAGTAATATTATAATTTTTAGAGATTCTCAACCATATAAATGTATAACTTTTAGGGACTAAAACTATTATTTATTATATTACATCACACATTTACGATTAGGTAATAGACAAACTTAACAACTTAGTATCAAAATAAAAAAAATAAAACATTAAATATAATATAAGAAAGGGTAAAGTATAGTAATGGTCACTGAACATTTCTAAAGCTTGCATTTAGGTCCCCCAACTTTTAAAACTTGCAATACAATCCCCCAACATTTATTCCGTTTGCAATATGGTCCCCCAACTTAAACCACCGTTAGAAATTAGAGTAAATTATATAAAAGGTTATTGAACTTTTCAGACACTTGAATTTAGATCCCCCAACTTTTAAAACTTGCAAAACAATCCTCAATTTCATTCTAAACCCCAATTTCCAAAGTAATTCAATTTCATTCTAAACCCTAAATTCCAAAATAATTCAATTAAATTCAATTATGTCAGATTTTTATTATTTAATTTCATCTTATTTCATGTGATACGTATTTTTTATATAAATAATAGTATAATTCTTATCTATTGAAGAAATTTTTTAATTAAAAAAAGTAGATAGGATATAGAAGAGTTGAAAATAATTCGAATTTTAAATTTATAAATGTTATTTTGACGTATAAATAAAAGTGTAAACTACTAGGTTGACAACTTAACTATCTAGCCCTTTTTACTTTTGTCATCAATCTTTTAAATTTATCAATCATACAACATAATTATTTAACTGTTTCAACTAAGCCACTAGTCGTTACCAATTGATAAAAATGATGATGTGGCAGTTAAAAGGAATTGACATTATTATACATTCAGTCTTTATTATTTATATAATCAATTTGGTCCTAAATTAAATAGAATTAATAAATTAATCATTAATTAGGATCTGACATGTGTTAGCACATGATCATGACACGTGTCATTGGTGACACATGTCACCACCTAATTATTTATATGCTATCAATTTGGTCCTAAATTAAATAAAATTTAATAAATTAATCATTTAACCAGGATCTGACATGTGTTAACACATGATCATGATATGTGTTATTGGTGACACATGTCACCACCTAATTAGAAGAAAATTAAGTTACAAAGAAGAAAATTAAGTTACAAAGAAATAAAATTTGGGTCTTGGGCAAACTCAAACCTGAGTCACGCAAATGAAAGATACAAGGTGGAGCCACTAAGCTAACACCATCGTTTGTGTTAAGATATACAATAATATACTAATAGTATGACCAATGCCAGAAAAAAAAAGAATATAATGGAAAATGGAAATAATGAGATTTGAACTTCGGCAAAAAATTTGAAAGCAATAAATGATGGGAAAATATTATATTTTTTTAAAATAAAAAATATTACATTTGATAAATTGTTTGATAGATTTAATATATTTTTTAAATATTAGTTGATACAATATTTTAAAAGAATAAATTTAAGATTTATATATTTTTAAACTAAATTTAATAATTATATTTTTCATATTTATAATTCATGATTATATATAATCTTAAGTTGAGTATTTCTAATATAATTAATAATTTTAATTTCTTATTAAAAATAAAATATTCAAAAAATATAAATGATTCATACATTAATAATATATTTTTTTTATTTATACATCTAAATATAATATACTTTTATATAATATATTTTTATTCTATATTGAAATATTTTGATTAAATATAAACATATTTTAAATACTAGTTTATACAAGAAAATAAAATATATCAAAAATATAAATGATCATACATTTAAATATAAATTGAATCATTTATATTTTCTATACATCTATATTTAATAAGAATAAAATTATTGGGGGACTGTTTTAAAGTTTTAAAAGTTGGGGACCTAAATTCAGTGCCTGAAAAGTTCAATGACCGTTTATATAATTTATCCTAATTTTCTAATAGTGATTTAAGTTGGGGGACCATATTGCAAACGGAATAAATGTTGAGGGACTGTATTGCGAGTTTTTAAAAGTTGAGGGACCTAAATGCAAGCTTCAGAAATGTTCAGTGATCATTACTATCTTTGCCCTATAAGAAATAATTATAATTTATTTTTGGATTATTTTTTATTAAATTAAGGTAATTATAAAGTAATATATGTTATAAACTTAGTTTTCTTTTATTAGTGTGCCGCTCATCTCTTTTTTTTGTCTTTGTTGATCGGTGGCGGTACCAACTTTAATGTTGGTTGTCGACCGTTAATATTATTTATTGTGTTTTTCTTTTATATATCATATCTTTATTTTATTTTTTTTTTATTTTTAATAAGTCGCATGTGTTGCACGTCTTCATTTGCCTTTATGACACGTTTTTATGCTATTTGACATTTTTTCGGTTCTTTGGTCGTTTTTCATTTATCTTTTTTTCTAAGGGTTTGTTTGACATCGTCACAACTGATCAAGATGACGCTTATATGATATTTTGTGATCTCTTTTGCTTTGGACCCTCAGATTGGATTTGGATACTCGATTTGAGTTTGCGGATAACTTTTCACGTCGCGAGTCTGATTTGTGGTTTGTCGGTGCTCTTTCAATAGCTTGGTCCCCTTTTGTGGTTCATATGCTGATGCGATCAGATTTATTTCTATCTATATTTTGTTCAAGTTTTTTGGTTTTTGGTTAAATTTAATATTTCATTGTATGGTCCTTATGTTAACCGAGTTGTTAGTTTTGTTTTAATGATTATAATTTTTTTCTAATTATGTGATTAATTTACGATTGATCATAAATTTTTATTGTAATTTCTTATTTTAAATAAAATTAGTTGATTCTATAAAAAAAATAATTATTTTTATAGGGTATCTGGACACATGG